GAAGAGCGGCCCCAGCCCCGGTTCCTGCCAGGCCTGCTGGGCTGCTCCAAGCTCCTCGGCAGGAAAGGCAGACGCTGCGTCTCAAGCGCAGAGAAAGCTCAGGCTACGGGGCCGGTGAACAAATCACCTGCTGGCTGGGACCCTGTTCTCAACGCTGATGGGATCACTGCTTCCCAACCTGGAGAGTGCGATCCGTCTCCCGAGTGAGTGGTGATAATGAATCTGAACAAACCGACATAATCAGCCGCTCCCACGGTTATCTCACCTCGGGAGGCATCTCAGATTAATGTGATCTGGCTCGACAGCCCAAGTGGAGCTCAGACGGATTTACATGTAACATGAAGTGACAATCCCGCGGGGAAGATAAATGCACACGCATCCCGCAGACCGAATGGAGCAGGGACGGCAACTCCTCAGATCAGGGGACAGACGCACACGCCCTCGTGTCGTGAGCATCTTGGGTGACTCTTCTCAGTACAGACACACAGTATTCACCCATTAAACACGGGGCTACATTTTCTGCTCTGCCACAAACATATGCTCTCGCCCATTTTCTTCCGAAATATGTTACCCTCCAGTTGTGTTTTTCATTTTTTTTACCTTCTCACGTTCGACAGGAACACAGATACAAAACACTTCCCTCTCCTCTTAACTGTATTATAGGAAAGCTAGAGTCACCCGCCAGAGCCGTGAGGGGTGGCAGAGGTGCAGTAACGGGCTGGGACGGCCGCGGGCGGGGCGGGACGGGGAGGGGGAAGCCGCCCAGCACAGGCCGGCCACCTCGGCCTCAGAGAAGCCAGAAAGCTGGTGTCCTCACGATTGCCTGCTTAGTGACTGTGCAAACCCCTCGATCAAACCCAGACCATGCGGTGCTCTCGCAGGAACACTAGGTGGGAGGGACCAGGAGAAGCCAGACTAGCAGGCAGGGGGTCAGGGGTCCACCAAGACGGAGAATCCCGGAAGACAGCAGAACACACATGGAGTCTTACCTTTAAAGTCAAACTGGGAGATGTTTTTTAAGGATTCGTGAAGAAAGTAAAAGCTTCCTAGTGCCTGTAAAGCAAACAGAGACATGGAGTGAGGCCAGCGCGGGAGCGTCTCTAAAGCGGGCCTGGGCGGTGACTAGGAAGCTCTGCGGGTGAGAAAAAGAGTTCAGCTCACTGCAGCCCAATCACAGCCCCCAGACTCAACAGTCAGCCGCAGACGCTTCCCGACCCAGGACGCCAGGAGCGCCGGCCGCTAGCCAACCCCGAGTGGGCATCTCCCCTGTGGACGCACCCGTGCCCCCCGCCCCCGCCTCCCGTCTGCTGCGGGGTCCAGTGGTCCAGCGGTCCAGCGGGCGAGGGTCGGGGCAGCGTGGATGTCTCCTGAGTGCAGGACACGGCTCCGTTCCGGGCAGCACAGCCTCGCCATGGCTCCCCCTGCCCCTCGGCGGGCCAGCCACCCGCTGCCCGGTCCAATCCCTCCCTATCCGCCTGCTCATCCTTCAGGACTGAGCTGCAACCTCAGAGCCTCTGGAGCCACCGGCCCTGCCCGTCCACGATCAACAGCATGAGCAGCCACGGAGCGCCCGCTGGGTGCCAAGAGCTGTTCTGGGTGATGAGTCGGCCCTGCTCGCCCCCCTCAGGAAAAGGCCAAAGTGCAGGGGCCGGGCTGGGGTGGGGATGGGGCACCTGGCGCCAAAAGTCAATTGTTTACCTGGGATTCAGACTTAACCGGGTGTGTGTGTGCGTGTGTGCGTGTGTAGTTACACATCTTTTTCGTGTGTATCCATGCGTGTGACGGGGACTCGGGCATGTGGTCAGTGCCGACAGGCTCCCCACGGCGCAGGCACAAAGTGGACGGAGCGCACGTGCTGCTGGCCTGGCTCACCCATCAGGTCTCTGTCCCGAATCCTCTCTGAGAGGAGCTGGGCACCTTGGCGCACACACCCGAGGACCAGCCTCCGCTCTCTGTTCTGACCGCGGACAGTCAAGGTCCCTCCAAGAGGAGGCATGTGGGCAGTGCTGGGCCCTGGAAAGCTGCAGGACCACACCCATGAGCGAGCGGATATCTTCCCGTTTGCTTGGGTAAAGAAAGCACTCAGAAAAAGCGTAAGTAAATAACGCAATTGCAAAGATTTGAACTATCGCCTCATTGGATGTGATAAAGCTAACATAATATTAAGAAGTTTACAGTAAATAAATGGAAAATAAATTGCCAACGCAGGTACAGAGCTGTAACTCACAGAGTCAGAAAATCCATAATTAGCTCTAATGAATATTTCAAGTCAAAGTTCAACTCAACTTTTTCAACATCTGACCGACTCCATCGATACAGTTCAGGGCCCATTTGTCACAGGCTGTGAGGACAGGTGGCGGGAAGCAGCCTGCCGGCGGGGCACCGGCTCGTGGGTCCTCTGACCCCACACCTGTCAGCAGTGTGCTCGTCACGTCTCAAGAGTATTGACTCCTTGCCTGTTTTGCTAGAAACAATTAAAATACTTTTTACATATTTATAAACCTGACTGTCAAGAGTGCTTATTAATTCTCCATTAGTGAAATGCAGTCCAGCCGCTCCTGTGTCCCCGGAGCAGCAGACACAGGACGGGCGCCCTGACCTCTGGCAGCAGGATGGCCTCGGGGCGGCCTCGCCCCGCGGCTACGGGGACCCAAGGCCAGAGTTCTCGCGACAGGGCTCTGAAGGGGTGCTGGGTGCGGACCGGATCCGGCCCGTGTGGCTCCTGGTCCCACCTGCCCGGCTCCACTGGATCCTCGAGGGTCTGCAGTGCTGCGAAGCCAGTCCCCTGCCTGGAGCTGGTTGGCTAACGGTTGACGGGACCACAGGCCACACCTGGGCACTCGTTTGCCTGCGGGAGCTGAGCTCTGAAAGCCGCAGGCCACTCTGCAGACACACAGAGCCAGGGCACGGGACGGGGCCGCAGGCAGACGGCCCCCATGCTGGACAGGAAGCCACGCACCCACAGACGTCGGTGAAGCGTGGATGTGCGGAGGGCGCCACGGACGGAGCCGCCGCCCACCCGCCGCGGGCCGGGGACTCCCCGGCAAAAGCTACTCCTTGGAAACACCCCTCCACCTTTTATTTGCAAACAGATCAGACATTCATTAACCGATCATTTCTGCGCCGACGTTAGCGGCCCAGGTACAGGTTAGCCCTCGGCCCCCACGTCCAGTTGGCTTTCAGGCAGTTCCGAACCCTCAAGTCAAATCGACTGAGCAGGAAGGGGCACAGGAGCGAAATGTTCTTCCCCGGATGCAATGAAAGAGGAAACCATACACGTCCTTCTCGCACACAACCCCAAGGCGCTAACAGAGCCTCTGAGGGCACTGTGGGAACAGGAAGGCCGGGTCTCAGCTCCCAGGGCGCCTGCAGAAGGGAGCTTCCCTCCTCCAAGTCCCAGGGAACACCCACCGCCGTCCCCCAGGCAGAGGGCTCCCCGAGAAGCCAGCTGCAGCATCCTAGGACAGGAGAGGGCGAGCCAGGGGGCCACACACAGCCTAGGGCCAGGGAATCTGCCCATCAGGAAGGCCAACTGCCTTTAAATTCAACACAGCTCCTCCCGGAAGGCACTACATTACACTGTTTCTACGGATAAAGCATTTTCAACATGTCATTTTTAAAAAAAATAAAATAAATGCATCTGAGAAGACGATAAAAACTTCCTAAGACACAGCTGACAACTAACCCTCAAGCCTGCAGCAAACCACAGAGCGTGAGCTGCTCTACGTTAGAATCGATGGGCGTAAATGACGCACGGCTGGAAAGGCCCCTTGGTTTGGAGATTACGATGAACCCCTGACATGTCACCTGCTCCATCCCGGGGTGCAGACAGCGCCCCGTGGACACAGGGCCCCCCGGTGGGGTACGGCCCTGCGCGTGCACACGCGCTGTGGCGTCAGGTAAGCAGCTGTGCTCAGCTCAGCACCGACATTCCAACAGGATCGGATGCAAACATCTCCACCCTCGGAGAACAAAGCTCAGGACACGAGAGGCTGTGATGTGGACCCAGGCTGGCTGTGGATCCCTCGTAACACGGGGGACCCGCAAGTTCTGAGCACACAGCCATGGGGAGACGCACAGCTCCACGGCCTCACAGCGAGTTTACGTCCAAGGGAAGCCGTGCATAAACACACACACAGAGCTCTCTCTCGGAAGCCGGGGCTCTCAAGACACACGCACGGGAAGGCAGGCGGCACTGCCAGAAACACCAACAGACCCAGCAACCAAGTGCCTAACAACGTGAAGACAGATACTCGTGATCCAGCCCTACAGTGGAGCGCCACACAGCAAGGACAACAAGCAAACCACACCGAAAACCACAGAGGGGCTTCGCAAGGTTGAGAGACGAAAGTTCCTGAAACTTCACAGGGCATGGTGCCAAGGTAACAGAAACACAACCAAAAGAGTGCGTTTAAACAGAACGAAGGAATAAAGTGATCGGCACAAAACTCAGCATGGGGGTTATGGGGGGAGCAGGGCACTAAGCAGGTGCACACGGGGTGTCACTGCTCTAGAAAGGCCTTAGGTTGTGTGGGGGCTTCCAAGGCGTCCGCTGTGCTGGACACTCCCAACGCAACTATCCCCCCAGAGGTGGCTGCCATCCTCAGTGTCGGTGACCAAGGTCAAAGGCACCCCTGGAAGGGCTCAGAGCCTTCACCAACTTTATCTGCACCATCGTACCTACTCCCTCCTCAGGAACTTGTTTTGATGACTGTAGCTTTGTAGTACAGTCTTAAGTCAGGGAGTCTGATCCCTCCAGCTCCATTTCTTTTCCTCAACATTGCTTTGGCTAAGGAACTTGTTTTATTTCCCATTCAAAGTTCTATTTGTGAAACGTTTGATGTTGCAACATGTAACACTAGCTTATTTTTAATGCTATAAGATCCAATATACAATAATACTGCAAGTTATTTATCCAGTTTTGCTGTTGGGCATGAAGACTGCTTCCAAGGTTTTCACTATTAGAACCAACACTAAAACGAACATTGCACGGTGTCCTTGAGCACATGGGAGAGATACACACCCGCGTGTATTAAATGTGCGTGTACGTGTATGTGACATGCGGCTGGGGTTTCTGGGTCACGGTGGATGGGCATCTTCCACACAGGTTTCTACATGGCGCCCAGCAGTGCCTGCTGCCCCACACCCTCGCCAGGACCTGGTGCCGGCACACCTAGATCTCTGCCAGCCGACTGGGGTGAAATTACACATCACTGTTGTCTTATTTGCATTTTCCTTAGACTAGTGCAGCTGAGCACCTCTTTTTAAGAGGAGTGGAAACTTGGGGTTCTCCTGTGAACACCCTATTCTTATCCTTTGCTTATTTTCTATTTCCCTTGTCTACTACTTGTATTCCAGAGAATTCCCCCACTCTTTGTGGCTTCCCCAGTCAGTTTTTCATGGTATCTTTCATGAAATGAAAGCCTTTGTTTTTAAGGTAGTCAAAGTAGCGGACATAGTCCTTTATGGTTTCGCCTTTACGTCTTGTTTGGAAATAGTTCCCTAGTCTGACCCCACAAGGAGTCTCAACATTCCATGTAGAACGTGTAAGGTTGTTTCTTTCCCATTTAGGTTTTTACAATAACAGGGACTTATTCGTGGGGGCGGCGCAGGGTGAGGTCTAGCGTTACTTCATTCCATGTGGAATTCCGTACTGTCCGGTTTCCCCATTACGTATGTGACGACTCATTTACCACATTGCCATCCGTTTGGGGATCTGTTCTCTGGGCTCTCGGTTCTGTTCCATTGGTCTATTCCTAATAGCACTTTTTCCTAGTTTAGCTTTATAATAAGTCTTGATATTTAGTAGCATAAATAAATGCCCCGTTTTGCTTTTCTTCACAATTGCTTCCGTGATTTTTGGCCCTTTATACTTGCATATAAAACTCCAGAACAACTGCCAGATTACACCCAAAACATCCTGCTGGGGTTAGGGTTACAAACACAGATTGACTGGGGGCAGCGGACGTCTTTGTGATACAACTCGGTCTTCCTGCCCATAAACATGATGTATCTTTAACCACATTGAGGTCTGGTTTCTGGATGGCTAAAGC